AACAACACATGCTATATAGTCAAAACTGTGAACATATGATCGTGACGAGTGTACCAACGCAACAAAAAAAAAATTTTGAAATTAGAGTGTACAGAGCGCGCGAAATTCAAAAAGTCACCTTACTTTTTGATCACACCTCGTATTATATTATATTAATGTTATATTTTAATTTATATATTATTATTAATTTATAATTTATATATTCATTAAGTGCACGATATGCAATTGTATATTAATAAAATTTAATTTATTATTTACATACTTTATCATACGATCTGTGAATTTTTAAGCAAATAATGTCGTAAGTGTCGAGCAGATGCATGTTCGAAATAAAGATCGTGGCTTGGAAAACTAGCGGTGGCAAATGTTCGAATTATTGGAGTTATCTTCGCGGGTTTATTGATCTCTCTTGATATAACATTGAATCTCTCTCTCTTCTCTCTCTCTCTCTCTCTCTCCTCTCTCTCTCTCTCTCTCTCTCTCTCTCTTTCTCAATGAATTTATACGTGATATTGTTTCCTCGAAATATCTGTGCTTTGCATGCTACTGATCCGAATGCGAAAACGATATAGCGAGCGTCAAGGTAATCCGCAGAAATCCGAGAACAATCCGCCCTCCGATCGTTGCTATTCTGTTAGCTAATCATCGTCGTTCAATAATAATAATCGGAAGAGTAATGATTCTGATGAAGTTACGAGTCGCGTCGTGCGTTGCAACGCGCAATCTTTGCGTTGATGATAGCACGGGTGAATCATTGAGGGATTAAACTTTTATCTTAGCAATGATAAAGTGCTTTCTGTGATCGTAAATACTACCGTTCTGACATTGGCACAAAGAACAATGGCACATGGAAGCAAGTTTATTTGAAATAAATCGAGAAATATTATTTCGGAAACACTCTGAAACGCGTGTGACACAGAATACACGAAGTATTCGCTTGAAATGTAAAACGTAATATAAAGATATAAAAAGAAATAAAATAAATTTTTACAAAAAAATAGAGAGAGAGAGAGAGAGAGAGAGAGAGAGAGAGAGAAAGTGCGCGAATAAACTTCTATTTTCGACTGTGCTGAGGTTAACATCTATCAATATTTTATTGATATAAGTTGATATTTATTGATTACGGAATATTTCTTTCGCATAAATCATAATTCATATCGACAAGTCAAGCGAAATGCAAATTGCTATTGTCTAATTAAACGTAGACGGCCGCGCGGCTACCGTCGCGTCATTAAGAAGATTGGGCTTATATCTGTTGATTTTTATAACTGGACATTGTCTTGTATATATGTAAATAATGAGTAAAGCTGTTTTTGAGTTTCGCCCGTCGTCTTAGTCCCAGTAGAAGAAGCAAGAAGATAATAATACAAAGCTCAACTTTGTTGAGCGCCAAATGCCGATTTAATTCGAGAACATCGGCATTCAATCATCGTGCCTCGGTATTCGATTCCCGTTAGCGTTTTTTCCTTAACAATAAACGGATAATGAATTATACTGTAATTACTCGATTATGTATAACATAGAGTAAACATGGGGACACGGACGCCGTTTTTAATGGATACTCTGCGTGCATACAAATCGTGTGACTCATAAGTTATCTTTGCGCGTTCTTGTTCTGTCAAGTTGCGTATTAAATCGATGACCCAGTTCGAAATAGAACCGACTAAAAGTCTCTCGTTTCGAGAGAAATAGCTCATCAAACATTTAAATCTCTCCTCGATACGGAGGAGGCTCCGAGTAACTCGCGTCACGTCCTGGTTTCCCCTTTCCTCTTTACACAATCAATTCACACCTTCCTGAGCGACCGTCTCGTCCGAGTATTGTTTACAACCGGCGTTTATGCGCACAACTTGCGATATACTGCGCATATTAGATCCGATATACGACATATAGTATAGATATGTGCAACACTGGCGGAATGCCAAAGGTCATCCTTGAGCATTCACTTTTCTACGCGACGCGATTACCATTCATAGATATAAAGAGTGCTCCGCGCGATTAATTTCTCGTTGCTTTTCCACCCCGTCGAACTTCTCGTATCCGGAATGATTAATTTGAAGTCTGTCTTGTTTCATTGCGCGGCACGATAACCGTGAAATAATTACTCGATTATTCTCTTAACAAGACGTACTTTGTTCTACTTCGCAGGAGGGCGAGCTTCTTGAGAAGAACACAGACTGGATTTACGAATGGAGCTCTCGACCGGACCAGGCGCCTCCAAAGTATGAGATAAATGAGATTTTAATAAATTAAATATATAAATAATTATATTTAATTGTCTTTTATAATATTGTTTACTATTAGAGCCGAGTTTATATCAAGTATAAAAAAAATAACTATACATATTATACTTTATAAAGGATTAATTTTGACTTAAGAGACTTCTTTTTCACATTGAGTAATATTGGCGAATAAAATTCTTACTTACGTTTAATGATCTCATTTTCGTTTCAGAGACTGGAAGTTCAAACACCCTTTGGGTAGTAAGAGGAAAACATACAGCATCCGTACCGCGAAGGTTGGCAAGAACGGATTGTTTTCCAAGGAGGTCATTTATACTCTATTCTTCACGAATCTTCTGTCTCTGCTCATTGGAACCGGTCTAGGGTAAGATAATGCTCAAAATGTAATATTAACATATTTTTTAAATTTTATTTTTGTCTCTAAAATATTAAAATCGCTGATTTCGATGCTAACAATCCACATTTCGAAAAAATCCAAATCGAATATTTACTATCATTATTAATCTTATCTTGTATTATATCTTGTTATTACGGTATTTCATATTATCAAGGGAGTTTTTGCAATACCGTTTATCCAGATCACGGTGAACGCTAAGGTCAGGTTATCTTTTTCTTAACAACTAATTAACTTTAGCGTTTACCGTATCTGAATTCACGTTATTGCAAAAACTTTCTAATGGTAATCAAACCGTATTCATTCTACAATTGACAATTAATTTTGGTATCTTATAACATAGGATTGTTATATTTGTAATTGTGTGTTTTACTCTTTTCGATTATTATATTGACTTATTTGGTAATCTCATTAATTTTGTTGTAGCGTTTTGCTCACCAGGCGGGGCTTGATGATGTCCCGTGTCGCTATTGAATGAAGGACACGATTCCGGGTGTGTCAGCATCAGGATTGTCACGGTTGAATCTACGCTGAGAAAAAGGCTAGAAACGCAAGAAAGACTGAACAAGCCGGAGGGCGATCGAGCCTAAAAACAGTTACACGCAGCACATAATTCGATTGTCCCGATTTATAATATTAGCACTTTGTATTATATATTAGCACTTTTACTTTCCCAAACCCCCTTACTGTACGGTGTACTTCTACAAAATTGCGTATGCCAGATATAAGTAATACGCATTATATGCTTAGAAAAAGGGAAAGCTAAGAAAAAGAGCAAAAGAGATAGAAGGAAGGAATCTATCGTATATAACATAGAGTTGTTGAAAGGAACAGAAAAAAAAATGAACGAAACATGTCCATTTTATACCGTTTCTAATACGTTTCTATCTGCAATAGTTTTTAGGCATAGCTTGAATAGTATTTATCAGAAACTAATTATTGTTAGAATGAAAAGAATGAAGGCGAGAATGAGAGAGAGGGGGGGTGTGTGTTTGTTATACGGAGATGTCGGTGAGGAAAGTACAAGATTTATTAATCGAAAAGGATCCTAATGATGAGAACAATCTTGAAAATGTTGCAGAACTCGTCTTGTTTATACAAGTTATAGGAATCTTATTGTATTGCGGATGAGCGACATGATTTAATATTGTGATTTGTTACGGTAACAAGAAGGAAATGTGCGTCATATCCAATAAATTCGAAACAGAACGTGATTAAATATTACATAAATAATAAGGCGATATATGTCGATCGATTCTTTTTTTAATTATCGTGCGGTAATTGTAATGATCGTCATCTCGGTGGTGATCTAAACGGTAACGATAGTAGAGTTCCTACGGAGGAAGTACCGATGCTGACGCCCACCGTCTCGACGCCGACTACAAGCAGTAGCCGGAGGAAGGGACCACATAGCGAGCAGACTTGTTTGTGAACGATGAGAAATTTTTTGAAGCGGAGCTTTTGTACGATGTCTTAATCTGCGGTTTTGTAATTTCCTTATAATAAATTCACATACGAATTTCACACGCTAACAAAATGTGTTTTATCGTCTACGTCTTCGATTTAAAGCGTTTGGTCCGTCCGTGACCCATCGAATGTATTTCCGCGTTTTCGGTACATAAGATCTCGAGAAGACGAACAAACAGTCGAAACCCAACTTTTAAAGAGCTTGCAAGAATCTTGTAAAATTCTTATAAGATTCTTACAAGAATAGATCTTAACAATATCAAGAAAAGAAAATTTTGCACGTCTTTTCGTACTCTCGAAGAATTAAATCACTATTCATTGAATCGATTTGGAGCTGATGAATTTTATTTTTGTAAATAAATACTTAATGCTTCGTGTTTACCGACTGTATCTGCGACCATATGTTACAGAAACGATATTTTTTATCTTGCGTGTGCTTCGAGAAGGCTCGAGTTCGTGTATAAAATGTTTGCGTGTAAAACGTAAGGTACGTGCGTGATACATGTGTAACTTTTTTCCAGCAACAAGAATTTATGAACGCTCTCGTGCTCACGATTTTGTACTTTATGAGAAAAAAGCTCGAGTGATCTAGGAATCACTAGTTTGTCAGAAATATGCACAAGCGACATTGCGACATAATCTTTTGAATTTTGAGTTTAGAGAAAAATATCAATTTAATGTGACAGATTAAAAATACGTCACTCTTGTTAGTGATTTAGATAAGCCATATTCGTACGTTCAGATAAAATTAAATGCACGTTAGAAATTATGCATTTTTTGTTATTCGAAATCAGCAGCACGATCTTTCCCCTCTCCGATTTTGCGTGGATCAATAGATTTTCTTTCTGTATTCTTAGTTAAGTCGAGTTATTTAATTTGCAGTGATGATGTTCGACGTACTTTTCATATTATTTTGTAATACTTGTATGTATGTCATACGCATAATAATAATAATCGTATTGTGTATGTAGTAGTGACGTTGATGACTTTGTAGCGTCGTCGGGCACATGGTGGAAGTATACTTCCACCATGGTTGGGCACTCAATTCTTTTTTCGACATCCTTTCAGAGTTTGCCGTTGCCCTTTGCTAAAATTGAAGTTTTAATTATGAATAATTTATATACACGAACGCTATGAAATAAAGGGTTTTGTAAATTTATACCCACGACGACGTATTTAATTTCTGTAAATATTTCGCATATAATTTTGAGCTAGCGTGAAGTTATTTTACTTTTTTTTTGTATGCGATATACTTTGAAATGACAGAGATTGAATTCTAGACAATTTCAGCGCTTAATTAGAGTGCACAGAAGGGATTAACCTTGCCATCTTGTAATTATCTACGATATTGAAAATAAGAGAATGCATCAAACACGAACTTTTCTATGTCGGATGACGAGTCGATTGATGAGGTACAACAGTAATGTGAAGGTTTTCGTACGAATTCTACAACTTGAAAAATCGTGCGATTCTTGCGCAAAGATCAGTACGGATGGTAAGGTGAGATTAATGTAAATCTCTTTATCGTTAAACCTAGACTATTCCAATAGCTGAGAAAAGATTATATCCCTATACTGCTAGTGTGGGATGTATTCTCACGAAATTTGCTACTTTTTTATTGCTATTATTATTATTTATTGAGATGTCTCGTGATTCATTTCGATACATTTTGTCAATTAATGCATTATAATTAATTAAATTATTATAATGTTGTCATTTAGACAATATATGTGAGATGGTTGCAAGATATGCAACGAAACAAACAGTCGGAACATCCTATTTATTGGGCCTTCCATATTGATGGGATATTTCATGAGATGTCCCAGAATAAGGTGTACTGTGCTACTGCGAAAGATCTCGTAGAAAAGTATTGATTAATATTTTAATTGCCATGATGATATTCCATAATGTGTTAACGATGTAATTAATTAACTTGATATTGTTTAATCTGGGAAAAATAAACTAATTTGTATTAATCTAACGTCGCCAAAAATGTGTAACAAAATTATTAAATTAATTTTTGAAAGCACATAAATGATTTGACAACGTGTATAAGGAATAAGAGTAATAAGAGTGCGTTATGTTAAAAATTGATAGTATTTTTTTTTTAAATAAAATAGAAGATATAAAAAATGTTTTTTGATCGTAATGAAAACATTTAGATTATTGAGGATTAGCATGATTTTATGTATTTTATTAGAAAGTATGCAGCCACATTACTAGATAATAATCAATAATTAATGTTACTTATCGCTGATAAGATATGGAATATCATGCAATGTTTATAAATGTAACAAAACTTGTATGATATACACAACAAAGGAATAATTTAAGAGCTTTAAACGGTGTAAATTGCGTACTGGTCGGCTATGGACAAACAGGATCCGGAAAAAGTTTCACGATTGGCAATCTCGGAAATAATTTGGAAGTATGCTTTTGTATCTTGCATAATTTTACTTGGATTATTGTTCAATCAATTATTTTGATTCAATCAATTATTTTGATCACTCATTGATTTAGCATAGAGGAATAGTCTCGCGACTTTTATCCGACGTGTTTATGGAAAAGGCGAACCGAAGAAAAATTAGTGACATACGTTATCGTTTAAGTTTCATCGAGTTAAGAGGTAAAAACGTAGTCTTCTGACGCAAAAATGAAGGATTTAAGGTATCGTGATAAAAATTCTAATTTGTTTTTTCGCAGGAATGTATTTGTATCCTTGTGTTAAATTTTCGGATAGCTTTTACGTTGCTTACGAAGAATAACGTTCTATCAAAAAAATACTTATTTTTACGATTTCCCAGAATTCTTATATTTATTTAAAGTGTCTTTGCTTTTGTTCTGCATACGTGTCGAAATCAGCGCAATTACGATTTCAGAATGTAATTGTAGTAGATGTAGAGAATGAAGAAGAGACTTTGAAACAAGTACGTGAAGGAGAAGGCAGGAGATCAATTGTGAGAAGCACAACGTATCCGGTATCATATTTAGGTGCTGCTGATCACTATTCACGTTTCAAATGCGAGCTTGATAAAATTGCAAGCTATCGTAGCGACAGCAAAAGTAATTGCGAATTCGGCATCTTTCAAAATAAATTTTGAAACTTTCTATGTTTAAATATTTTCGCATGATAATTTGTAGATTACTAGGAAGAACTTTTTGTATTGTTTTATAAAATGTTAAAATATCTGAAATGTTATTTAAATATTGGGTGTGGATATAACATTTAGATATAGAATCATTATTTGAAATATATAATTTAAATATATCATGTTTAAATATAATTAAATATTTTAAATAATAAATATTCGTAATATATGTAACTAAATTTTAAAGAAATTATCTTGATTGAGAGATATCTTGAAAGAAAAATTACGAGTTTGTTTTTACGGATCAATATTGGATACATATCGTAGAGATGGCTGGAACTGGTACGGTAGGAAAATCGAGTCACTGGAAAACAGCAGTCGATTTAGGTATGGCGAATTTAATAAAAATACAGCTGGAACAATATTTCCTGCATCTTAGAAAACCAAGTATGTGCACATATAGCGTTATTCGCTCAAGTAATTTGCTGAAGCTACTAAGAGATGCGTTTACTGTCACATCAATCATTCGGTAATTATATAATGAATACAAATTTGAAACAGAAGTAGCGCAAATTTTCTTATGTTAATCTAAACTACAATAAATTCATCTTTTTTCCATATCTATATAAATATCTATATAAATATTTATATAAATATAGATAAATATGGACATATATAAAGACAAATTAAACATTGAATAAAAACATGATTCTATAATATTTAATAAAATATAAACGCTATTTTTTAATTCTCTATGTACTCTAATCAAACTTCTATATTTTCTATTAAATTTCTAACTTGACTTAAAATTCATACATATTTATGATGTTTTATTTGATTAATTAAAATCTCGACATTTCTCTTATTTATCAGCTTCATATCTCACGTGTGCATCACGAAAGAAGATCTCAAAATCACTTTGTCGACCATACGACTGACTGCTAAAATCGCAAAACTGAAACCGATCAAGACGATACGTGACATCCAGCCACGGACAGAATTAATCGTGCAGCAATTACGAGAGCAAGTAAACATATTGAAGAAGGAATTAGAGTTGAATGATATGTTTTTACATCAAGAGATACTACCAAACATCTCAAAATCTAGACTCGAGCAGATCAGCCGAGACGTTATAAATTTTTTGTATTCACTTCAGAATTAACACTTTTTAATATTACTCAGGCACGAATATTAGTAAACGTCGTCAAACAATTATACGACAAGTTCGTTCCCTTGATATTGTGCATACTTGATCAGAGTTCTAATTTAAATTTATGTATCTTAATTATATTTTAATTAAAAATTAATTGCGAGGAACTGTAAGACATGTATTTTTTCACATATTTGTGATATTTAATAATTTTTTCCATTGTATGTTTTTCGTATTTGACAACGGTAAAAAGAAATCAGTTTAATAATCGTAAACGCAGTTAAAATCTTACGATAGAAATTTTGACTTTTTTCTAATCATTCTAGGCTGCTGGCGAAAGAAGTTGAAGCGGAAAAAAGCTTGAAAGAAGCGTACAACAACGTGATAACTATGTTATCGCAACCAGATGCTCATGCTTTGCCCTCATTGTTCATAATTTGTCATGATGGTGCATATTAATTTTATGGATATAATTTACAATTTTCGTATGGTGTATTTATTAATATTCTCTTTACTCTTACATTACTATATGTTAATACAGATGAGATTGACAGTCAAATAAAATTATTAATTTATTTGTTCATATTGCATAACTAATTTTGTTATTATATACTGAATTATAAGAAAATATTGCAGCAAACTAAATGATGATTTAAAAATCACATATTTACAAAGAAAAAAATTGATGATTTAAAAATTACGCATTTACAACGTAAAAATATCAATGTAGGAAAAAATCGATACGCATATGCAGGGTTGGTAAAAAACATGTTTTAAACAGTTTAAAATATGCTTAATTGATGTTTTTAATATGTTTTAAACATGTTTTTTTTATAGTACTGTTTAAAGCATATTTAAAGCATTAAAAACATATTCAAGAAGAAACACAATATGTTTTATTCTTAAAAAAAACATTAGTCTTTACCAACCCTGCGCATATGTAGAAAAAGTAAAGATTTTAAATAAATATATATTTTATCTGGCAATTACACGCACTAATTATGGAAACAAATGTGATTGATGTCGCAAATTTTTAAATAAAACTAATAGTTTCATAGAATATATAGATTTCGGTAAATCGGTCTATGGTTGGTAAAACTTAAATTTCATTAATATTTCAAAGGAAAGCCGTTATATTTCGCGAATGTTGCTCCCCTGAGAAATTTTTTCTCAGAATTTTGTATATAATTTTTCAGAATTTCTATATAATTTTTTATAACTTTCTCACATTTTTTATACAAATTGGAACACTTCTCAGAAAATCTATATTTTTCCTCAGAATTTTCTATATATGTTAATTATAAAATCTCGTAAGATTTCTAAGATTGGTAAATATGCAGATTAGGGGAGCCCCCCCAATGACCTTGACCTTGACATATGTTGTCAAGGTCATGACCCCGAGTGACCTTGAGGAAGTTTTAATTGCAGGACGTTACTCATTAAGAAGTTATAAACAAAAGAAGTTTACAAAATAACTTCTTTTTACTATAGGGGCTTACGACTCTCACCTCCGACTCTAACCCCTCCTACTTCAGGGGCACACGATTCTCACCTTTGACTCTCACCCCCCTCTCCCCCTGCTTCAGGGGCGCCCGACTCTCACCTTCGACTCTCACTCTCTCCTACTCCCTGCTATAGCGATAGGAATAACACGGTTTCAACCTATCAGAAATCAGATGCACTGGAATATACACTTTCTCATAGGTTGAAATTGTATTATTCCTATCGCTCTATTGCTACACGGAGAAAATTTTATATTTAAAATTACTATAATGTGGTAGTAGCTGCGGTCTTCATGTAAATTATAAGTTTAAATGTTATAGTTATTTTTTTAAAAACAATAATATAACGTAATTTTTACACTTTTTCATAGTAAAAAGTTTTTATTACAAAATCAAATATACCTAGCAAATTTTGTTTGCGTACCATAGTAAAAATTAACTGTTTTCATGTTAGAATATGGCTTAACAAAATAATTACTTCATTTATGTGATAAAATTAGTATTACCATAGTAAAAGTTAAGTCGGAATCATGTTGTGAGAGTCCATCGTAAATACAAGACATAGTAAAGTGTAATTTAAAATTGTATTAAAACTTAATATAAAATTTTTTCCGTGTATTTCTTCGCATTGTGTTTAAGGCTTTACTGTTATGATCAACTACGCGTATTTAGAGAAAACTAGCCTGCTGTGAACGTTTCAGCGGCTACAATCCTATGAAACAGGAATAAGTTATCGCGCGCCAATCACGGCTCGCGGTGCGCGTGTCTCGCGTTGTGCCGGCCTCGCGATGGACTTCAGCCGCTCTGGCTAAGAATACGTTTAGTTTTGAAGTCTTTCATTGCATTAATATGTTTCTCTAGTTAATTTGTCGCCTTTGGGTCGCCACGACCGATTGAATTAATCCAGAAACGAATGAATAATGTCTTCTTCTTCTTTAACCTTTCATTGGCCCTGGTCCTCTTTATAACGAGGTAAACTTGGCCAGTCGTGTAAAGGCACAGTCCAAGCCGGCAACGCTTTTCAAATTGGGGTAATCGTAAGTGGGAGTGCTATGCACCGGCCACCTCGAACCGGGCGGGTAATGGATGATGCAATAAAAATGGTGAGGCGCCCCTTCAAACACTGGACGCCTGCGGCTACGGCGCTTCCACGCCGCACGGCCGCGCGCCAAGACGGATAAAGGGACTATCGAAATTGAAATACTATGGCACAGTCCAAGCCGGCAACGCTTTTCAAAAATATAGTCAAGGTGACGCAACACCCGAGACGAGACGAGAGAGAACACGTTCGATTCGCTCGAGTGGTCTACAAGAATTTGAATGAATAATGTCAATTAGCCGTATTAGCGAGTATCGGCCGGGAGTCAGGAGGTAGCAGCGCGGACCACGGAGAGAGACTAGCACGGACCACGGAGAGAGATCGCGCAGACCGCGGAGAAAGGCCCTAAATTTAATTCATTAATTACTTAAAAATTCCGCCAATTAAGGCGATGCTAAAGCCTTCTGTTTTACCACATTTCCATTCGGTGAAAAATCTCCGTACTGGATGTATGGACAGAGATGCCAATTCTGTTAGGGTGCCGTCACATGCGGCGTAACCAGCGTAAGCGTAACCTGCGTATTCTAGTAATTTACTAGAA